AACTTCAAACCGCGCTGAGCTCCCTCTCTCTCTCTCTCTCTCTCTCTCTCTCCCCTTGTGTGTCCCCCCTCTGCAGTTTTTGAAGCCAACGGTTTTTGGGTCGCCGCCACTTCATCCGGCCACCAATTTGGGTGGTACCGGTCCCAAAAGAACCAGCACACTTCCCTCTTCCTACCCCACCCCTCAGCCGCCGCTGCTGCAACTGTATTTTGCCCCAAAAAATAGAAAACTGACCAGTTTTTCTTGAAACTTTCCGACACTTGTTTCGGCGATTCCGGCCACCAATTTCTTCGATCTAGGTATACTTTTTCATCCTCTCAATGTGTTCTAGCTGAATGTTGGGTTGAGTAGGATCGATTTCTGCGTTTTATAACTAGATTTATAGCTTAAAGTTTGGCCAATTTTCAGCTTGTGATTCCGGAAAGTTCTGGTCACTTTTTGGCCATTGTCCAAAACAAAAGTTGCTCCATTCGTTGTCTTGATTATGTAGGTATAGGTCTTAACCGGCCGTTTGAAGATTTTTCGATCTCCGAAATCACTTTGGGCACCGACGCGCTACTGGAGCATGTGGCGGCACGTGAGCACTGTTTGGGTGATCCTCTTGATCCTAAAATGATCACCATGTCATTCCGAACACTATGGTATACTCAAATTTGAATTTGGTTATTGTTTGACTGTCTAACGGATATCGCATATTAGGCGTTATTCGGGTTCGATATGTTACAGTTGGATCGACTCCAATTTCAAATATGCTGATCTAGGCACCTCTAGGATCGTGTAGGAATTCGCGGATCATGAATCGGAGTTCGGGATGCTCCAAATCAATAACTTAAAGTTTGCGTTAAAAGATAACCGTTCAATAGCGATCTGACATTGTGATTCGGAGCAAACTTGCTGGACATGTTTAATAAACCTTGTTGAACCCATAAGAACTTTCAGATCGGAAAACGGAGGTCATGGCCCTATGGGCCAGGTTGACCAAGTTTGGGTAGTTTGACCCCTCTGTTGACCGTGAGTTTTCCGAGGTAGTTTCACCCTTCGAGAAGTACTAGAACGACCTTATTAAGAGTCTTAATTGTTATTTGAGTTATGTTGATTATGTTGTGATTATGATATTGTTTTAAAGTATCTATGGAATTTTTGGATATTAGTTTGATAATTGAAGTTATGGAATGGATGAGCATGGGATACTTGATCGATGGGTTATGGAAGTGAGTATTGGGTCTTGGCTATAATTATTAGTAAATAAGTGGACGTTCATTTTCAAGTGTACTTCATTCTTTTAATATGGAATTTCTTGCATAATGAGTTTTGATTGAAAATCGATTCAATATGGGTTAATGAGGATATGGGATCTCTAAAGGTTATTATTTATCATTAATTAATAATAATAATATTATTATTATTAAAATATATGGATTAGGTGATATCGGGTTAGCTGTTTGTGCAAATAATCTCACGGGAGAATATTCGCTTCTAGATCCTTCAACCTTCGATCTTCCTTCTCTCTCTTCCTCGATTCCTGTAAAACAGATTGGGTAAATAGACCACACCCGGGGGGTGTTGGCCAAAGGCCCTCCGATGCCTAAGTTAGTTTGAGTGTTCGTAGAAAAACAATAGCTAAGCAAAGGGTACGGAGTAGTG